TAATCTAACACGGCCAAACTGACAACATTCCGCTCTCGGAATGCATGACTCATTTGAAGTGTCACAGACATGAACACACAGAAAAAAAACAAAGTTTTATTTCTTTACAGCAACGTTAAAATATATAGATGTGTACATCGGTAAAAATTCGTAAACCTTTCATTCTGCAGATTTATCATCAGCCGTCCCAGAGTTCCCTGTAATGAACAAAAAACGAGAATTCATCAATCAAATGAATTTCACAAACAATTGGGACTAGATTTACGTAATAACTCACAAGCTGACAGACACGATGGAAATTCTGTAGTAAGCACGCATTTACAAATACAGAGTTGACTTGAGTAGCACGATGGAAATACTGCAATAAGCACGTATTTGCGATGGGCTCTCAAACAACAAAATCAAAACACAGAGTTGACTTGAGCAGCGCGATGGAAATACTGCAATAAGCACGTATTTGCGATGGGCTCTCAAACAACAAAATCAAAACACAGAGTTGACTTGAGCAGCGCGATGGAAATACTGCAATAAGCACGTATTTGCGATGGGCTCTCAAACAACAAAATCAAAACACAGAGTTGACTTGAGCAGCGCGATGGAAATACTGCAATAAGCACGTATTTGCGATGGGCTCTCAAACAACAAAATCAAAACACAAAATACTCCAAAGACTATTTAAATTAGTTTTATATACACAACTCAAATCAATCTAACACGGCACAACAAGTCAAATTATGTACTTACAATTGTCTAGTTGTAATAATCTTTGGAAATCGTCAGGCGTCCAATCAGTAGGCCAATGCCGCAACTGATCCTTAGAACATTTAAAAGTTTTCGGAGTACCTAATTTCTTAATCAAATACCGATTATTGGTAAGTGATCTCTTGATTATGTAAGGACCAACAAATTCACAAGAAAACTTTTCAGGTCTTTGACCTCGGCTTAACAAAACAGTATCACCTACTTTATACAGCTGATTGTCTCTTCGCTTCTTATTTAGATAATTCAACTGCCTTTCTGAATTTTGCCGTAGTTTCTTTATAACTGCGGAATAATCCACTGGAGATTTAGTTTCATCAGGGATTGGCAAATCGGTTAAGACTGTACGAATTTGAGGCGTTTGACCCTCTCGACCAAATACTAACTTAAAAGGTGAGCAACCAGTCGTCTTTTGTTTCGTAGTATTGATTACTAACTGGATCTTCCATACTTTGTTCGGCCAATCTGTTACTTTATTGGATTCAACTCTTAACAAATTGGTAATAGTTCGCATATAGCGTTCTATTTGTCCGTTGGAGCGATGAACACCGGGGGTTGTCACGTGTAATTCGATGCCAAAATATTCGGTAAATGATTTAAATATTTTTGCTATGAAATTAGTTCCAGCGTCGTGAATTAGTTTGGAGGGCGTGCCAAATATGCTGAGGAATTTAGCAAAATTTTGTGTTGTTTCTTCTGTAGTAACGGTGGATTGAGGATATAGGAGACAGAATTTGGAGAAGGCGTCAATTATAACAAGGATATATTTATAGTTTTTTGGATTACCTGGTAAGGGGCCCAGACAGTCGACATGAACTGTATGGAATGGTTCATCGGGCTTTGGGATAGAAGTAAGGAAGCCTTGTTTAGGACCCGTCTGATTTTTTCGTACTGCACATATCAAACAGTGTTCAACATACTTTTTAACATACCTGGTCATATGGGGAAACCAAAAGTAAAGTCTGATTGAGGCAAGAGTTTTTTCCCAACCTATGTGACTTTGATCATCGTGAAATATTTTCAAAAGACTATAACGGTTATTAGATGGTACAAAAAGTAAAGACTGAGACGATTTGTTATTTTTATTGGTTGTAATACGAAATAAGGTCTCTTTTTCTAATTTATATTTTCGTTTGACATCATCTTTAGCATCGTTCAAAGATTGAATGATTTGTTTACATTCCTCATCTTGACTTTGTGATACGGTAAGCCAATTTTTATGAAAATTGGGTTGTGAATCGATATGAGCTACAGTTTCAATTGGGTTCCTGCTAAGGAAGTCAACATGAGATATTTCAGAGCCCTTACGATAAACAATTTCGAAGTCGAAATCCTGCATATAAGCCCACCAGCGGGCGGTCCGCGGCTTAAGTTCTTTTTTGCTTGCAGATAATTTTAAGGAATTGCAATCAGTTACTAAAGTGAATCTTAATCCAAGCAAATATACACGAAAATTTTTTAAAGCTTTCACAACGGCCAGAGTCTCTAGTTCAAACGAATGATACATAGCTTCATCTGGATTGGTTTTTTGACTGAAATATTCAACTGGACGAAAGGTATCACTGTGTTTCTGCAATAAAATAGCACCGAAACCAATACTGCTCGCATCAGTATGCAATTGAGTCTCTAAATTTGAATCGAAAATTGACAATAGGGGTTTTTGAGTAAGGACATCAATAACATACTGCCTTGCTTTTTCACATTCAGTCGTCCAAACAAAGGGAACATCATTACGAGTCAAGTGAGTTATACAAGCTACTTTGGAAGAAAAAGCGGGAATAAATTTACGGAAGTAGCTCGCCAAACCGATGAATTGGCGCACTTGTTTCACGTTAGTGGGTGACAGACTTTCCTTGACTGCTTTAACTTTATTCGGATCAGGTCGGATACCATCAGCCGATATTTGACGACCTAAATAGGTGATGTTTTGCATAAAAAATCGACATTTACGAAGGTTAATTGAAAATCCGGCTTTAGACAAAGCATCAAGAACTAATTTTAGTTTACAAAATCCATCCTCAAGTGTGATGGAGGGTATTACTATGTCATCCATGTAAACAACCGCGGTGTCATATTTTAGGTTACCTAAAGCCATATTAATTGCTCTCTGAAAGACCGCAGGACCATTGGCCAGTCCAAAAGGCATTTTTAAATACTCATACTGACCATCCGGTGTCACGAAAGCGGTTTTTGGAATCGACTCGGGATTAATCGGGATTTGGTGAAAGCCCGAAGCCATATCAAGTGACGTGAAAAATTTATTTTTGCCTAAACGATCGAGCTGATCGTCAATACGTGGCAATGGATACCGATCTCTTAAAGTTATTTTATTCAAATGACGATAATCGACACACAATCGAAATGTCCCATCTTTTTTCTTAACGAGTATAATCGGGCTCCCAAATGGAGAATTGCTCTCCCGGACGATTTCGTTTTTAATTAGATCAGCAACGATGCCACGTACTTTCTGACGCTCAAACTCCGACATACGGTAGGGATGGTGATAAACAGTTTTGTTTTCTGTCAATGTGATGGTTAATTCCCCGGTATTGACAGGTTTAATGGTAAAATCAGTAGCAGTTGACAAATTCTGATAATTCCCCAGCAGTTTGATTAGTTCAGCCATTTCTGCATGCTCCAGATCACTTGTTATTTCCGAGTTATGAATGGTTCGAGTAGAATTTGTAAGCGCAAGCATGGGCATAATTTTTTGAACGTTTTTATTTTTTATTAAAACTACATTATTTTCGTAAACATTTTCACCAACGATAACGTCATATTTGGAATGACTATGCGGCACAATAACAAGATCAAGCGTTATTTTTATTTCGGGAAACTCTACCAATGCTTTGGTAAAAGAAAAAGAATTATGTATGGTACCGTCGAACCATCGTAAAGGAGTAACACGCGGAATTTTCTTTAGATTTAATTTGTCTACCAACGTTTCTTTTATTAGCGAACACGTGGAGCCGGTATCAATTAAACAATTTGTAGTGTAACCCGAAATAACGATAGGCACAGTTTTTAACTTGTTTTCATTAAAATTATGTGAATTGAGCAAAACGTGATGAGATTTAAATTTCTTTACGGTTGGGTCCTGTCCGGACTCTGAAACTTCACTTCCTCGACTTTGTTTATTTTGCCGACGAAAACAATTTTCAATGCCGTGACCAGGTCTTTTACAATATCGGCAAACATCAAACCCTTTATTATCCGAGTTATTGGTATTCTTAGTTTTAGATTTACAATCGCGAGAAAAGTGTCCCGATTGACCGCAAGAATAACAATTTGCCTGCGTCGTTTTTTTGTGTGAAAATACATTATTTTTCTTATTCAATTCGGATGCCGATTTTTCGACCAGAGGAATTTTTATGTAATTAGAGAGAAATGCAATTAAATCACTAACAGAGGCGGCACTACAATTATAGGCCGCAGTTCTGACCGCAAGATCGTCTATTGAATGAGCAATTATTTCGATCAAATCCGAATCAGACCAACTTGCCCGCGTGCGCTTTAATTTTTCTAATTTAATTCTCGCGTATTCAACATAACTGCGCGCATCGGAACTACGATAATTTACAGCATCGCTTAACAGTTTACCCAAATTCTTTTGTTTGGGAAAAGATACAGAAAAGTCAAATTTAAAATTTTCCCACGTTTCTTCCGTGGGTTGCCATGCCGAAAACCATCTTAGTGCAGATTTTTGCAAAAATGGACCAATTCTACTCACGGTTTCCCGATCTGACCAAGCAAATTCGTTCTTATACCCTTCAATTTTTTGTAACCAAATACCACTATCCATATTGTCGGGGTCAAAACTCGGCAAGGCCAACGAAATGGGAGTGGTTTGGGTGGCTGGCGATGTGGTTGATGTCGGCGACGGCTCCTTTGTACCGACACGCTGTTGCAAATTCTCAAGGATCGACGCTATGGCGCCCAAAGATCGATTCAGTTCTTCTTCGGCCATTATAGCACACTCCAAATTACGTTAAACGATTACACGTGTACCCCACACCTGATGTTAGATTTAAATAAATCGAGATTGTTTTAAAGACGACTTTTCCGATCTTGGCGTCAATGTCGAGCGGTGCATGCCAGAGCAGGGCATCAAACTGATGCCCGTCGCCACCCTCTGCGGCGTCCCGGCTCACGCGCGCGAATAGACCCGAAGATTTCCCGACGCATCCGAAATCGATAGATCGCGCCAATATTTAAATATTCGAACGTAATCTAACAATATTTTACACCAATTGTTTTGCGTAGCTATAGCAATAGCACACACTCTGGGAAGCTCTAATGGGAAGTTTAGATTTGAAAAATAGTACACAACAAGCTATGTAAGGTCGTGCAAAAGGTTTTGAGCTTTAAAAGCAACAACACTCCCTCTCCACAAAAAAAATACTCACCAGCATCAATTCTTTTCTCGTTCGCATTTGCCTAGGTTTCCTCTTTAAACTCACCTTTTACATTGTAAATCAAAGGTCAAAACATCTGGCGTCGATGTAAAATAATTTTCATACAACCAGTAGTTTAATTATAACTTAAAATTTCGTATACCTAACAAAAAAAGTCCGATTTTCATATCTCTTTTTTTTGCTTTTATTTTCACATTCAATAATGTTATCTTCACAAAACATGTCGAGTTTTGGTAAATGAAAATAGAACATACTACATTTCAGAAGGTTTTATATAGAAACAGCCTTGTTTTTCATCGTCAAAACAAATTAATTCGTATGCGGAAAATGCTGGTCGTATGCAAAAGAACGCTTAGGATGTAAGCCATGACAATAAACTGGAACGAATTTTCTAATACACGTGCACACATTTCCGATACACATGCCAGAGCCAGTTGTACATATAATACTACGAACACATACGCAGTAAAAAAGCGTTAATGTAGCGCAAAATTTCCCAATACCACTTGCCTTTTTTAATTTATTTCCTCAGTTGTGATAGAAAACTTAGATTAAAAAAAGAAAATGCAAATATCCCACGAAAGTTTTAGAACGAAAACACAAGTAAAATTTTGGTTTCGGAATTTTTATTGCTTATCACTAACATAAAAACACTGTAAACACAAATTCAGATGTAATTATACCCATACACACATGAAGGCGATTGAATCGTTACACGATTAATATCAATATTTTTATATTGCATTAACATTATAAATAAGTAGAAAAATATGTAAACCATTTACGAACACAATACATATGCGTAAACTATTGGCGTGATCTCAAATAGGATGCGTATAAAAATACCGCTTAAAAAAAAACGTTTCGCGAAAGCTAAAAAAAACAAACACGTGATAATCAGATATTTTAACTACAAAAACGCAAGTATCTTAATCTATTGGACTGAATATTCAACTCGAATATTAAATTTTTATAAATCACCAGACCATATTTAGCGTTTGTGTGCCTAATAATAATTGTTTTTTATTATAATAACTTTTTTTGTGTGTTCTATTGTTTCGTTTGGTACAGTTACGAATTATAATCGCGTAAACTCCAAGGAGGTATCGCAAACAAATCTAAACTCAGTCCCCTGTGAACCTCTTTGCAATGGAACTTGAAATTTCTTTTCATCAAAGTCGGTAGGTTTCAAGACGCTAGAAAAACGAACTACAAACTTAAACTAGGTTAGTTTTCTGTCGCATCTCTTCTAGCGATTTCAATTTAAGAATTGATACTAAATAAACTTCATTAATTATTGAGTTTGAGTTAGGTTTCATTAAGTTAACATAATTGGATAGAACTAGTTATAATAAAAATTCACTCAAAATTGATGCTCATTTCATAGGCTGAAACATAAAAATCTTCCAAATTTGTTAAATACCTATAAATCGGTTTTAGGAAAAAATAATACTGGATATTTGATTATTTTTTACAATCAACAACATGATGATTTGACCTAGGAAGGATATTTTAAAATACGGATCCCATTTTTTTTTCAGTTTAAGTTTAGATGATTTTTTGCAGCTTCACGTTATTTGGCACCTGCTTTTATAATGGTCTGCCCATGCGTTGTATTACAATTAAATTACATGAATATCATGACATAATTCGAAAACGATAAATATAATAACATTTCGAATTTTCGCCTACAATCTCCCGCACAAATAAAATATGTCGAGACAATTACATTGTACTTTGACGTTTGTGCTGTCGACAACAACCTCTACGCCGTGAAATTGACTGTCATCTAAATAAATATGTCCGCATATCTTGGCAACATCAAAAAACAAAATGTATAAAATAAAAAATTGTATCATCGAGACGCTAATGAACACGAAGGTATTTTTATACGCGTCCCTTTTAGAGATCGCCTGATCGAATCAGGATGTGCGCTCTAAATCTAAATTCGTCCCTCTGCAGAATGTACCCCACCACAATGGCGAGTGCCACTAGGCTAACTCCTATCGTGTTGATCACTATGGCTTCGTCGTTAAATGTCGAGTACTGGGCCCTGAAGCGCATGCGGAAAAGCAAGTTATCAAAACGGCGCCATTAATTTTTCAGTCATAGAATTTATCACAATGATAAGGTATATTTTAGTAAGTAGCCACTAGCTTAAAAAAAAAGATAAATATGGTCTCTTAGAAGTTATGATAATGTGGCTACCTAACAATAGATGGCGCAACACTTGGTGTAAATACAATAATGGGATTCTCGTAAAAATTTGTACACCCTAACTTGAAAAAAATCCTTTCTTTCTATATAAATACCATGGTCTTGTAATATATCGAGTTCGCTAGATTGATAACGATTTACGAGATTTGCTAAAAGGCAAAGCAAGTAATAAAAACCGAAACGTAACTAAACTTAAATACTAACAGCAAACGGAAATGGTTAAATCTTGGGAAAACTACTTACACTAATATATGGGACCTAGAGAAGAAATACTTCTATAGTGTTAGTATTTCCAGTATCATTACTGTTTCTACTTTTTATAATTGTCTATGTCTATGTCTTGCTATTTTCGAGACCGTACGCATCCCTCATCACTATCGCTTCCTTAACGTAAGAAATTGAAGTTATCAATAATAAAATAACACTTTGCTGCAAATACTTGCAAATAGTGTTTAGACAAAACTTTATTATTCTATTTACGCCCTTACCGTCGGTTATATCATAAATTTTAACATAATTTCTAGCAGTATTAAAAAAAAATTCTATATAATTAATATAACAAGTACAATATTTAATATTGACACAAAATAGATTTAGAAATTCAACAAACACTTATAATGACTCATTAGAATAAACACTTTGGAATCAAACTATACTAACCAGAAATGTGTATTAATAATACGGGTAGGTAAGACATAGCAAATGTCTACGTTAATCCGTAACAATGCACTTTTTTTCTTGTACAAATATGTCCAAAATTCGTAACTGAAAAATATCGAATTCCCACCTCGTTTTTTTTTTCAAAATAATAACATTGAATCACTAAAAATGGACTTATAATAAGAAACTTAAGTTTGCATTTTTATAAATAATAAGTGTCAAGTTTTGAGAATGACATAAACTAACTAAAAATTTTAGTTTCATTTACAAAAGCGATATCTATTTCGTATATACGAAAATTTGAGAAAAAATATTTTGACAAACTGATCTAAAAATTGAACGAATCTTTAGCATCCAGCAGCCGTCATACATACATTCACATAACTTTAACTCAGCAGAAAGCCGAAGAATAATCGAACTGAAATTAGAATCGATAACGACACATTCACCGCCAATCGAACTAGTAACAACCTTGACTTTTTATTAAAAAAATACACCTGAAAGAAAGTTGTATACGTGTATTTAACACATTTTTTAAAACCGTGTTTATAGGGGTTTCGTAACAATTCCCGCATTCTTGGAATAGTTCACGGGTGTTGCCGGATCAATACAGATGGAATGGTCTATTGAAAACACACACGCAAATTCGCACAAAATTGTAACCCAAAAATCTTCATATTCATATTCCCCAAAATATTTTTTTGTTGGTGAAATATAATAAACTATTTTGAGATATGAAGTTTAGAAACGTGGAAATCAGCTGTAGAAATGATAACAACGAACACTTTAAGAGATATGAATGAGAACATATTTCATCCCATATAAACGTTACATAAAAACTTTTTTCTGAAAACCAACCTTCTATGTTAGCTTACATGTCCCACAATGAACTAAAGCATAATGTCCAAATTCGTTAACGCATATTAGAAAATATAGGACTCTGAGTAAGGTTTTTTATGATCGCGAAATCATGCCATATTTTACTGAAAATTCAGACAGACAGACAGAAGGGGGGAAGGGAAAACGAACAAATGGAATTGTAAATCATTGTGGAATTTGTGGTTTTTGCCATAGACATTCATTGCACTTTTAAAACTTTTTGAGTATACTCCGAATCCGCTTTTTTTACAAAATTCAACTTTGTTGGGTATTTAAACAAATTGATAAAAAAGGATGGTTTTGATGTTTATATTAAACTGAAGCTCACGATATTTAGCAAAAGATATTTTAAAATGGTTTACCTCTAGCAGTCGCATCGTGGTATTCTAATCATTCAAATCGTGAATTATTTTTTTCTATATTTTCTCATTTGCAGTTATTTCTCTTTGTTACATTATCAACTTACAAATTTATTTTTCCTTAAATGAGCACTTACTGATTGAGCTAAATAAGACGAATAATTTTTATTTGTCTGGAGTACAAATGTCCGCACTGTTTTAATGCAACTACTAATATATATTTGGTTGAGTACAATGGACCCGCATGGCATTAATATCATATTATGATTAGTTAAAAATTGTACAATAAAAAAATATTCACTTAGTTTTTGGTATTTTTTTATGTTTATTCATTTTTGCTTAAGTTTACATAACGGTTCATGATATTAATCTATAGGACCGCGAAGAATGGTTTGTACTCGATTTAGCAGAATATTTTATTTTAAGTTAGTTTTTAAGTTAAAAACTAGCAAAACTTTTCCTTTCATTTTTAAGTAAATAACTATTTCCGTGGACCATTACTGTGTAACTGAATTGTCCGGACAGTTACTTATCTTATACCCGCCCACTTTAGGAAATATCTTGTTACAAAACGCGCCGACACGCGGATTCTATGGAGTCGAGAGTGTTACTACATCGATTTGCGGCAGATCAATAGAATTTACTGACCACGGTGCAAGACGCGCATTAAATGCGATACGTAATTTCATTATAACAGAGAAATATACGAAATTACTTTATGGGACAAGCTCGCAACTACTGTACTCTATTTTATTTTCAACTAAAATATTTATATCAAGACATGCTGTGGCCAAATGCTCTTAAAGCTATCATCCTAATAATACTTACCCTAACGTGAAAAGTGCTTTTTCCGTAAGACCGGACACGCAAGCCGCAATTGCCAGCATAAAGGTTGTAAGCCCGAATGAAGCGTGAATGGGCACCAAAGCTGCCCTGAAACCGGCCGTAGCTCCTTCGCAACACAGCAGAATCAGAAAGCTAAAAAATCCAACGACGAACTGAAATAGAAAAGAAAAATGACTGAGCGTTCAACGGCAATATACAATAATTCAGGGTTCATACAAAAATATTACTACATAATTTCAGTTTATTTGGATTGAATTAATTTATCAGTAAAAAGTCAGACTTATTGTGCGTGATTTCCCCATCAAATTCAGCTGTCGAATACTTAAATCCTGATCGGATCCCCCACTCCCAGCATCTGCAAACGATGTTATGTCGTTTCCTTATCCTCCCAATCACAACCAGTACTCTTAGTTATTCCCCATGTCCATTTTAGGTACCTGGTTTTTGAGAGTGTATTTACTGCTGCTAGTATAACATGACCAGCATTTTAAGAGTATTAGACGAGCACTAACATTATTTTAGTATCTTCAGTTCTAGTGGGCTGTCAGCATAAGTTGCTTTCAGTATCTTCGCATATATATTGAACTCATTGATTGGCTTTAACAACCTTGAATATGAGTTAAATTCAATCAAATGCCTGTCCAGTCGACCTTTGCGATGAACAACTAGTAAGAAACAAAAAATAATAAAATAAAACTCTATCTATATGAAAGAGTGAATTATATCCCTATGAGATCGCTCACCAAGAGCCAAGTGGGGATTGTCAATCTAGCACTTCTTCTTATTACATTTTATTATTTGTTAAATTGAAATTTCTCGTATGTTTAAATATGATGGTAAAAAGCAACTTTGTAGCATTGCTCTGTGAGTGTATTATCAACGGCCATCATTAATTTGCAATTTCGCTTTTTTAAATAATTCCTTCTATTTTTGCAAGTTCATCAGGTATGCAACTTGGTATTTTCTCTATGTGAATGGTAACTGACTATTTACGCAATATGTAAATTAATTTTAAAATATAGATAATCATATAGGGTATACCTATACTGATGAAATCCCGTTCATACTTGATATAACTTTCAATAGAATGTTTAAACAGTAAACGTACCCGGGGCATCGTGGCTGATCGATAGAACGGACAAACATATATTTATGCAAAATTGCCGAACATTCGGACTTGACAACAACGGTGCCGTTGTTGAAAAGCGGTTGCATGGTAAAATTTCAGTTATTTGAAAAGCAACTGTAAACGGTGTGGCAAATAATTCCGTATTCTGCGGTTTACTGAACGAAATGAAATATGTAGTAAAATAATGCCCGAGTAAAACCTAACAGCATAAATCAACGTGCTCATAAATTATTGCTATTAACCGCCACGGTATGTTAAATTTATGTAAAATGTTTATGCGCACATTGTAAATTGTGTTGCTATATTGCGTACCAGGCAAAAAGCAAAAATAGAACGGCATCCATATTGCTGCAAAAAATTCTGCGAAAATCAAACGAAATTAAAAAATTAAAATAAATTATGCGAAGGTATATATTATATTATTATATTTTTTAAATTATTTTTCATTCACAAAATCTTGCTATAACCATTTCGTTATTTAAATTAATCATAAAATAACGAGTATGGGATGTTCCGCTGTTAGTTAGTAAAGTAAATAGAAGAGCACCACTTTCTTATATTTTAAGATGTTATAGCTCCTGAACAGTTATCGGATCTTCAATATAGAATACTTATATAGAGTAAAGTCTGTTCATAGATATAAGAAAATGACTAACTGATACGAATTATGGAAAGACTAGTTCAAGCTGTAAGGATGAAATATGGAAATATGGAAAAATGAAATATAGGAAAGATACTAAACAATATTTATTTATTTATTTATGTATTTGTTTCAATCTAAAATAAAATTACAAATTATTTTTATTACCTTCTTAAATTACTTAAAATTATTCACATAATATATCACTTTCCCTATCATCGCCGGTTATAATTATTATTTGTTCTATATTATTTGCAATATGGATATACGATTGTTCTGCTTTTTCTATATGTTAAACAGAATTTGCTCAACTTTGTGGAGGGATGTTAAAAACTTCGGTTTCTATAAGTTTGAGGACATTGGAGTTAACACAGGGAAAAACATTGTTACGACGAATGGCAGATTTCAGTTGATGCCAAACATGTCCAATGGCATTAAATATATAGTGGTAAGGTGGAAGCCTTAAAACTGTATGCCCTAGATTTTTTGCAAAATTATCACAGACGTATTCCTTTTGTAGGTTCAAGCTTTGTAAAACCTCAATTAGTTGCTTTTTGGTATAATCTTCGTGAAAATAAATGTCGCTATTATACATGTAGTTTTGGATTGTTGCTTTTGTGTCACATGAAGAAGGGGTTTTAGTCAACTGTCTACTGTGATAACTTGCATTGTCCATTACAATTACGCTATTACCAACTTTCAAATCAATCAGCGGTGGTGTCTTCATGGTAATCCAGAAAAGAATCTTGAATATTTTTCGCAGACAAAGTCCATTTGGAATCCGACCATCTTTAGAGCCAGCATGCAAAATAGTTATTCTTTAACCTCTTTTTGATGGTACGTTTATTTTACACTTATCAGTTGAGTCAACCCAACTCTTTTCCGGGGTATCATAAGTGTCGAACCAGGTTTCATCCAAGTAAATAATGGGCCTTTGTTGTTCTCTGTCAATCCTAATTTTTTCTAGATATCGGCAGATAGTCGGCATTGCCTTTTGTCAATTTTTTTAAATCTAAAACCCATGCGTTGAATACACTTCCATAATTAAGATGTCTAATGTAGGCACGCTTTGTGCCTCGTATAACTCGAGAAAATGTCAGCATCGCTTTTTTTTCTTCCTCGCTGAAATGAATTATGAATTATTTGGGGTTTTGTTAGGAAAGATAATAAACAATATTTATTTATTTATGTATGTATTTATGTTTAAATCTAAAATAAAATTACAAAGTATTTTTATTACCTACTTAAATTACTTAAATTATTCACTTCACTTCTTTTTTTTCCTTGCTGAAATGGGATTATTCACAATTTTCCATACAGTTGATGTTGGAATTTTCGTCAATGTGGCCGTTTCTTCTAAAGATGCTTGCTTGCTGGCACCACGTTCAATGAGAGTCAAATAAACATTGTTTATAACTTCCTTAGTCTCAATAGAATAGTGTTTTCTACATTTGGACGGGAGCATCTCCTGAGATACACTAGACTCGCACATATTTTGCATAATTCGCACACGATTCGACACACGCTGTATTACACACGAAAAAAGAATGATTAACTAATAAACTTAAACTAAGTAGTATACCAAACCAAAGAATATTAAACACAGGTAGGTGTAATAGTGTATTATGCAACAAGTGCGGTAAACGGTATTTGACTCATGAGTTTATTTGACACGAGCGGAGCAAGTGTTTAATAAGCGAGTGAGTTAAAAAGTTTACCGAACGTGTTACATACTATACTTTTTCTACGACCGTTAGTTTTTGCGTACATTTTCTCAAAACACGAAAACATTCACTGACATGACTGTCAGAATTGATAAACGTCAAAATTCAAAGCGTGGGAAACATCTCCGAACACATCCGATTGCTCCCAAACCCGTGCGGTAAAATCCCGGAAATGTCCGAAGTGGCTCGGATTCGTGGAAAACCAAACTGACGTGGTAAAGTGACGCTTCCTGCACGCTAGATCGGTGCGTAATCAGGTATTTTACAGACGGGAGTAGAAAAAATTATTTTCTATTAGGGACCACAATTTTACCTGAATTTAAATTCCGAAACTTTAGGTAATAATCTTGTTGACCACCCTTGGATAATCCCATTCAAAAGCAATTGGTTACTTTCTTATATCTATGAACAGACCATACCTACTTCGTATATTCTGCCAAAATATATTAAAATATTTTTTTTTTAAAAACATAGATTGCAACATATGACAATTTCCAGATGGGTTGAAGAATATGCATTTTTGGAAAGTGCTTTCAATACAATGTACATCCTCTCTCTCAACAGTAAATTGTCTGCAATGTTGTCAATGTATTAATTCATTGTCGCAGGAAATATAAGAAAGAAAAATTTATAAAATAAAAAGGATCACGCAACAAAATGCGGGATGATCCGGGACTCGCGATGACTAACGACCACTACATTGTCGAGTTGAATACACCAATTAACAATCGCCTTTCGGCTGTTTATAAGCAATTAAGATCGTGTGCATCTCCCGTATAATCTTGTATAACTTGATTAAGCGTACACAAAGCGTAGGTAGACAAACGTCTTTGTCAATTTCTCAATTGCGCCTCTATGCAATATGAAGATTTCACGTAGGCAAAATCACGACATAGTTAATTGAACATAAAAAAAGTTTGTTAGTTTATCTAGTAAAAATAAGACCAGAGATATTATCGGTTAATCAGATTGAATTGCGGTCATGTTTTAAAAAGACGACAATATTTTGGAAGCAATTAGTTCAAACATCCATATCTAAAGCAATACAATTATTGCTTAATATTAATTTCAAAAAGAAATCTCGACCAGCAGCTCGTCATCCCTATTTTTTCAACACCAAATATTTTTGATATTGGTTTATTTGACGGTACAACGCCCTATACAGTTAGTAATTCTAGAGCCACTGTCTGCTCTACCACAAGTTCTGTTAGGTTAGCTTAACGTCTGTAAATCGATAACAATCACATTATAAAAAAGATCGGAAACGTCATTCATAAATCTGCAGACAAAATAAATATTTATCAACGGCAACTGAACTAGAGTGGAATTTACCAGATAAGATCCTCTATACCCTTATTTCAAAGAAAAAAAAGGGTTTATGTTTATGAATTATTGCCCATTTATATGTTTTACACATAAAGAGAGTTCGGTTTTCCATGGACAGGTGCCAAATTTTAAAATATAAATGGAACATTCCGTATCTTATTTTCGATATCGATTCCCCATAAAAATAAGGACGATTTAAAGTCAGATAATCTGTGGTTTAAGATGTAAATATTTGCTAAAAACGTGTCTAATAAAGATGGGTCTATAATAATGACATTCTACAAGGAGACTCTACAATCATTCATGAAATTTTACATTTTACATTTTATATAAAACAACATTTATGAAAGACGGTGCTGTGTTTTAGAACAATATGATTTTGGTAAATTCTAGAGAATTTTGACAATGTTTTTGGTCACTGAGACCAACAAGATTCAGAGCGGCACACCCCTAAGGTAAGTTTCCCACAGCCGATTGAATTTCTTAATAAATTATACCTTTGTAAAGAAATGAATAAACAGTGCCCTTATTCCAAACTGTTCCGACAATTTGGGTTGCATAGTGTTTGGGGGTGGCTGATATTCATATACCTCTTCAATACAAGCACCGAAACAATATACCAAAATAACAAAAAATATTTATAAAATATGTTTAAAAAACGACATTCTAAATAGTCAAAAAAAAGGCAAGAAGAAAATTGTGAAACAACGAAATATTACTTTATACACAATTAAATCTTACAATGAAGCTGAGCTAGCAAGAGTTCTTCAGACACGTGATCAAACTCGCGAAGTCCACAGCAGTAACGTAAACATGAAGTTTAGAGCCTTAGAAGGCTCTCTTTATCCTTATGAATTATAGCTGATCGGTAAACTATTCCACAAAAAGGAACTTGGGAGGCACTCTTGAGTTTTATAATATCCATACGGAATATTGATAATGAGATCCTACTGTCGGGTAGTTGGTTGGCCAACAATTATTTCGAGTTTGCACACATCGTCCACTTACAAAACCCAATACGGTCTAAAGATCAACCATAACAAAACCAAATTTATGGTCGTTACTAAATCACCACGCAGAAATATCCATTTAATGGTAAAAAAACACGAACATCGAAACTAACCAAAACGAAGCAAAGAAATAAAAGCACGAATTGAAACTGCACAATCAGCGTTTGTCAGGCTTAAAAAGTTCTATACTAACTGCGACTTGAGTTTGATACTGCGTGAGAGAATGCTTCGGTGCTACGTATTCTCCACCCTTTTATATGGTATGGAAGCATGGACGCTAAAGCTGTTGTTACAGAAGAATTTTGAAAATATCGTGGACAGGATCTCAAACGTTGAGAGGAAACTTGAATACCTGGGACATCTAATGAGGGGACTAAGATATAGCTTGCTGCAACTGGTTGTACAGGGGAAGATCCGAGGTAGACGAAGTGTCGGAAGGGGAAAAATATCCTGGCTGAGAAATTTAGAGCAGCTATCTACAAGGTCCGCATTGCCATGATGATTTCCAACCTACGATATGGAACTCTGAGAAAAAGAAGAAAGTTTCCTAGATTTGTATGCTTCCTTTCTTCACATAACCAGGCTTTAATTGTGTTCCCATCAGACCAGTTATTTCAGAGCCTACAGATCCATAAACGATATATAAGAAAGTCAGGAGTGGGGTAGTCCAATGATCACATATTGCTTGGAAATCGCAAGTCTATCAATAGTTTATATCACCCCGACCTTCATTAGTCTTTTCATAACCACATGGAATAAAATTAAGGACTACCGGTTTCCCAGCATTTTTCCGAATACAAAAATATCCTTGTATTTTGAATAAACGTTCAATGAAATTCGCAATTCAAATTTTTTCATAATACAAAAAAAAAGAAACAAATGTAAAATATTCGTGTGCACTTCGATTTTAAGCGTTGAGCGAGCAATAGAGTTCAAAAGTCAGAAGTAAACATCGTGTTCTGGCGATACTCCGGTTGCAATTAATAGTGAATAAACTTTCGGAATCGTTTATATCGTATAATCGGAACGCGGTTCGACGTATTTTATCACTCGCGCGAAACGAAAAGAGTTCGAACATTCACGCTGGGATCGTATCTTGGGGGGTCTCGCACGCCGCAATCGTGAAATGTTAAACAGTCAAGAAGCAAGTGGATATTTGGGTGTGTATCCCGCTAACTACTTGCTCCGCGCCAGGGTAGGGCACATTAAATTCGTAAAGGTAATCGCAACGTTGGAGAAATGGTGCAACAAGTTCTAGCAAAAAAACAAACTATTTGAATAATTTAAGTGTCCAAGTAACAATGGTTGGTTGTCTGTTGTTAAGCAATTTTGTTCCTTTTCCTGGGCTCTTCGCTTATCAGCTGGATTTCAAAGTAATGATGTGACAGTAGAGCCTTCGTGGTGAGAGGGGTACGAGGAACACGTAATATGTGAAAGATATTTTTACCGCAAAATACGTGTGTTGCGTTTTCCATGAATACTATGCTTAAAATTGTAATGGTTTCTGTATAAAAATAAGTGAGATGAGGACAAAAAGTGATTATAGGTTATTTTAGATAATTTTATTTCATTCCATTTATAATCGGAAACTCATTAAGTAATATTTTTAAAACCCGTAGCGAGAAAAAGACAAATTTAAATCATTTATTGAAGACAACAATTTTAAAATAGCTTGCAACCACATGCCGAAACTACCTTAGAATATTTCCAAATATTTCTTCGGTATTTTTTCTCCAGCCAGTTAAATATTTACTAGGTGATTTCCCATTCGATTGATCTAATTTAAAAAAACACACCATGCTTGCCTTGCTTGCGAGATTGTTTTTAAAGCGAAATTGTCCACTCGATTAATGCTGGTAGGAATATTTGTTCTCGGCGTCCGTAGCCCTGTCGTGACATTTGCCATTAGTTTCGTTTGCGATAACAAATAGCAAAGCTATTAAATGAACAAATTTTAAAAAATTGTTAAATACACATGTTACAATAATAGCAGTAGATAACTTTTTAAGAATGAAAACCTGAATCCATGACTGATCGGTGAAAGGTCACTTTTATTTGGAAACTAAGAAAGTATGCTTAATTAATAAAAATATTTTCACCGAAGCAATGCGACATTACCACTTCAAATAAGTAGCGATATTTTAAATGACACGCTCTGTATATTATAGCACCTTTTGCAGCTCTATTGAGGCGGTACAATGCTTCCCTATAGCAAGATTTTTAATTTTTTTCAATTTTCTTCATTTTTATTCAAATGCTTATCAATTAAGCAAATTTTTGAATTCGCAGCATTAGTTCGAAAATAATTACATTTTCTTCGAAATATAAATATTGTTTAAGGGAGTGGAACACTCAACAAGCGTAATGCCAAACGTAAGTAGATAATTTGCACTTAAATTTAGGTGAAATAAAATTACACCAAAAAATGAATTTACCTGTATAGCGAACAGTCCCATGGTGACCAGTCCGATCCAGCTGTGCAGAGAATAGAAGTTAGGAATCGGAGGCTGTTTCAGATTATGTGAGTCTAAAACTGCCAAAAAACCGATTGCTACACACGGTATTGCCAACGCATGGAAGACTGTGTGAAGAAGTTTTACGTAAATCCGCCTGCAGCACCTGCATATCCTGTAGAGCAGCACAGCTGTAAAAAACGAGAAAAACGACAATTAAACGAAATCTAGACAAAGAAAACGCGACTTGGTTCCACATGCTAGTTGGTTTTAAGTTTCTTACTCTGAAGAATGAACTGAAATTTCTTTGCAGGTGTTTTGTCATTATTTTTTGTACTTAAACTATACATCATAATATTATAAAAGATGATTGTTTAAAACAGTTGAATCAGATATCCCCAAACTTGGCGACTGATCCAAAAGCATATGAAAGTAAGATAATATCAATAAAGAATAAATTGGGTGATAGTTTTGGTTAGTTTTCGATTTCTCCAGTGTCTGCCGGTTTGCCAATTTCGACAGTTCTTCTTGTAAAATAAGCTGCTAAAAAAGTAAAAAGGTACACAACTGAAAAATTAGATTATGTTCGGTTAAAATATCAGGTGTCTTCAAAATAGCGAAAAATTTATTTGACAATCTCGCTGAAGCCTATTCTTTTTTAAATTAAACTTTAGAGAAAAGATAACCAGGTTCACTACAAGTGTGTTTCCTGTATTGCCTGAAAATCCCAAAAATACAAAAATTAAAATTATCTGAATACTTATCGTTTCCCCTGATTTGAAACTCTGGATAAAATACAAAACAATAGTGCAAAAATTAAATTTTTGTCTGTTAAAGAAAAGTTAATAAACTATCAGTTCAGAAATTGAGTGTTTAAGATGATGTCTCGTTTTGAGGGACAATTTTTCTGAAACTATGCACCATAACCAGACTAAAACACACACAGCAGAAGAAGAAGATAAACAAACTTTTCAAAAAATCGTGACTTATTCTGAAAGCGGAAACTTCCGCTGCTCTCCTTGAATTTCTTGACTTTTCCAAGTTTTCCAAGTCGAAAATATAAAAGGTATAGCCAAACTGTATTACACTAATCATATATCTTTTACATTATTCTAGATATTTGTATGAAAGTTTGAACATTAAAAACTATCGTCTCTAATGCATTGCTTTTCGGTTATCATTCATTGTAAGATATGCAAATATATTAAATTGCATTAATATCGCGACAGTGATCTTGAAAACCAGTAGTAACGCATACACTTCCCGATTAATTTTTTAAATTGTGCATGCGAGTGCATATCGCAATTACTTTTTGCGAACCGTATTACAATTTTATATTTCCCGCTCGCGTTTATTTTATTAATAGACAGGTTACGCGTATAATTATACTCAGTGGCATGAAGAAACTAAAGAGGTGTGCTCGGTTTTTTTTCTAAATAAAGGAAAGTGACGAACAATTACGCTGATCTGTGACTCAAAACGATGCCTTCGTCCGGACATGGATAGGAACTGCATTCGTTTAATTGGAGACGGTTTAAATCGATGACACTGCATCAGCAGAAACAATAGATAATTATAGCACAAGCGAAAGGTATATAACGCAAAAAGAAGGCGGCAAATTCTATTTCAGCGTGAAATTACACCCATTATTTTACGAGTCACTTTTGAATTTCACTTTTCAAAAGATAACATCCATAAAACCATTCTAATTTATCTCTTTAAAATAAACTGTAAATAATTTTATTTATTATTTAACGTTATTACTTTTATAAATAACGAGTTCACAGGGTTGAAGAATATTTAAATAGATAATAATAAAAATCTTTATTTGGAATAAAGACCATCCATCGTATTTGGAAAGTATATTAAAATGAACTTTTATGGTATTTCGATATGATAAAAAACGTTTTCGACATGTCGGCATGATTATTAAAAATAATTGGTAATAAAATTTAAGTCGAAATATTGCATTTTTTTATTTTATTACATAGTAATCAAATAAGAAGGCACATTAAGAAGAAACAAGAAATTGGAAACTAGAGTAAAGTTCGAACTTGATGAAAATCCATTTAACACAAATTAAATTAGAACAAAAAATGTTTAGATTTTCACAGCTGTTTCGGCAACACCGTGCGTTTATCAAATACAAAATATGACTATATTCCGACACTTATACATAAAAACAGGTAGTAATAGATATTTAATTACAGGCCTGTAGTTTCTTTTGTAACAGCACTATGAGTGACATTTTCAACAAGATTAATTAAAATTTTAGAATATAATACTTTAAACCTAGATATGCTATCAAAAATTCATTCGAACTAATTAACAAGGTTAACGACATAAAAATTCCTTCTAAGGCAATTCTAGTTTCATTTGATGTTCAAAACTTATTTCCTAGCATTCCACCAATTGACGTAATAAACATAATAGACAATATTCTCACGCAGAGACAAGTTAACCCTATCATAAAACAAGGCTTGCCAGATGGTTTAATAGTTTGTTAAGGCCAAAATTATTTTGAATTTAATGGTCAATTTTATATTGCTAAAGAAGGATCAATTATGGGAAACCCACTTGCCCACAATACTTGCAGAAATTTTCATGGACAATTTAGAAAATATCATTCATAAACATCTTCTGAGTAAAGGACTTCTCTGGTGGTATAGATATGTAGATGATGTTTTAGCTTGTTTCACTGGAACCGAAAGACAACTGTAGTCCTTCTTGAATCATATTAACTCGATACATAACCGCCTAAAATTTACCATAAACCATCACACACGGACACAATAATACATAATAACTCAAATCACCCTTACACACACATGTCTACTTTTTATGCTTTTATCAACAGACTACTTAATGTACCACTTTCTAAAGAAAATTTTGAAAAAGAAGAAGAAGAAAGCTCTTTGATAGATAAGATTATAACTAAAAAGCAGTTTAAAATAACTCTGAACTCTATCTATCCCATATTAAACACCGAAAACAAAATTTATAAAACAATAAAATACATAGGAGACCCTAGCAAGAAAATTTCGAAACATCTATCTAAATTTGGTATTAATATTGCTTTTAAAACTGAAAACACCATAGGACATTTTCTAAAAAAACAATAAAACTAAATTACGAAAAACACAAAAATCAGGAGTCTACAAGTTGAAATGTTGATCTTGTCCCAAAATTTACGGACAAACAAGTAGAACATTTCAGAAACGCATTAACGAACATAAAAGGGCGTATAAAAATAAAAGTTCGTATTCTAACTATGCAATTTATTTAAATTCAGAAAGGCACAACTTTGATGATAATTTTGATATTTTATATAATCATTCAAAAAGCAAAACAAATTTGTTGGAAGCTATGGAGATTAACAAAATGAAATATTAGAATTTATTACTTAACGACCAATTGGATTTAAATGCGTGTAATTAAAAATCTATTACTACCTGTTTTTATATATATGTCGGAACATAGTCATATTTTGTATTTGATAAAGGCACGGTGTTGCCAAAACAGCTGTCATAAAGTATTAAAAACTGTGAAAACCTGATCATTTTTTGTTCTAATTTAATAGTAAAGTCTGTAGACTTTAGAATTCAAAATAGTATATTATGCAAGACCTATAAACGACATTTTAGTTTTAGTTTTTTTTTTAATTTAATAAAATAATATATGAAGGACTTTATAAATGTGTTACATACTACTTCTTCTACGGCAGTAACATTTTTGCAGAACAGCACCAATACATCAATACTGAGTGACACCAAAACTGACGGACGTCAAAAAATTAGTGTTCTAAACATCTACAGAAAATGTAATACGTTAATAGGTAATAAGGTATTTTAAATTCGGAGGTAGAAAAATACATTCCTTACATACTTTGAGACTTTGTGAAGTCACACCAGCTTTAGCAAACATTTTGATGACCCACTATATTAAAAAAGCACTCTGGTGGTGGTTTTTGTCCCAGATGTGAAAAGTGTTTTATAAAAACTATTTTCCCACAGCATACTAAACATATGATTGAGTTTATAGGCCATATGAACCACTTGGCAAGTATTTTACAAAATCAACCCTTCACGGAGGCGCTTTAAACAAATCGGAAAATTTAGACACTCACAAAATCCACTGAACGTGATGAAACCGGCCACCATCAACACGGGATGCAAGTTAAATTGCTTGACAGGATCGTCTCTCCATGCGAAACCCTGTCGGTACTGTATTACCCAAAACAGTGTAAGCCCAAGTGAACCGAGAAGGAGGATACTGGCCAATACCACAACCACTGTATATTCGAGCCAACTACCACAGCTCCATTCGTTGTCATCTTCATAATGCCGATGGCTGAAACAAAATAACCCAATAAAACATTTCATTAAGTCGTTTCGAATAAGATATAAAGATATAAAGAACGTCCTTTGAGAAACCACCGGGTATATTGCTACATACGTAAAACAATATATCTTTGAATAAACTTCTGACCTAGTTAGGACAATTTTTCAAAATGGAAAAATCATGTAAGACACGAACAAAGTTCTGAACGAAACCAGTTAATCTACCGTCTACGCATTTTTTATCGTTTGTCAATACAGAAGTAAAAGTTGTCCGATTAGTAAATGCAAATTAACGGGTATTAAAGAATCAATTACGCTTTGTGTAATCATTGTTGTGCTGCGATAAATAAAAATATCTTCTGTAAAACAGGTAGAGCTTTATTTGTTTGTCTATGTCGAGAAGGAAGTGAAAGAAATTATTTACGGGCTTGTCGCAAACACTAAAAAATAGCGAAACCTATCTGTAATAAATAAAGGCGAAGCTTTAAAAAATACTGTAGACGTTGAAATTTTGCATTCAATTTAAAATTCAACATCTCAAACAGTGTCGTCAGCAAAACATGTAATAGTTAGGGCCACCATATTTCGCAAATTGCAAAAGATGTTTAATTAGAATCCGGATTCAAGTTGTTTAAATTCTCTACAGCTTTCTTACATATACTTAGGGAAATCTCGAAATATTGCTTAATATGTATAGAGTTAGAAAGAGACGGTAATCATCGAGGATGTGTAGAGTGGGTAACATCACCCAATGCTCGGTGAATGTGATATGGACTATTCTTTCCTTTCATCCTTATTGTATACCAGTTATACAAATCAAGAAAGCATACTTTCTTTTTCAAAGAAATATTTCAAAAATGGTATTTTTAAAAATGGACGCCGCAGATAAAAATATATAAAATTGCGGAGTACGAAATACCAAACACTAAAGTAAAATTACAATTTAAATAAAACCTGAAAAACAACACAAATAAAGTGAAATTTTCACATTTGAAATTAAAATGAAATTAGCAACAAACTACAACCTTTATTGCTCTGGAATAATTGACAATACATCCAAAAGAAAATTCAAATTTTCTGATTTATTTATTTACATTTACATTTATATTTAACGATTAGTAAGCCAAATGTCACGATAATATTCTTTGGTACTCTTTATATTAACTTTTATTTTGCCGCCATTTTTCAAGAGGGCTAGAATGTTATCGAGACAACAGAGAAAAATTATCAGGAACATTATGATATAGATGGATATAGAGGGGAGAAATATTTATAACCCAAAAATTGGAAAATAGCAGACATAGAAAACTCACTGTGCACAATAGATTTAAAAAATAATAATAATAAATAAATATCTACGATAAAATGATAAATAATCAATGATTAATGATAATAATTTACAAAAAATATCAAATTACCTGATTTCTGAATGTGTACGTAGAACTACACAAATTTTTGATGATGTTAATAGATAACAATGTCACAATATCTGCTTATTTTTACCTGAAGATGAGCTAGAATTCCACAATGCTATTCGGATAGTTTTCAGATAGGACGACACGAGGTAGCGAAAGTGAAAGACAAACTAAATAAAATCGTTTGCTATGGATCATAAATATTTAAAAAATACGAATTCTTGATACTATACTACAACTATAGTGTTAAACACACAAACATCGATGAGAATAATGGAATGTGGTCTTTAGAGGTTAGTTCACCAATAGCGTTTATTGCTACCTGACAACGTGATTCGGACAAGGACACGGCTTGTAGAATTTTACACTGTTCGTTCCCTTCATGCAGAATAACGCTATACACATGATTTATTTAAACAAACGATGAAATATAATAAAAATTAGTAAGGCGTTGCAACCGCAGCGTAGCGTTATTCACATCTCTCTTCGAACCACTGTCAAACACTTTTATATCGTGAATATATTAATAGATCGACTGGTATTGCAAAATATACGTGAATTAACATCTACTGATGATGTCACACTATACATCATCTATACGTAGGAGTGTAATATTTATTTATATTTTGGTGGCAAGAACAATCGTTTTAAAACCAGTTTATTCTCGACGAGGTGTGTATATATACAGTACCTCGGACTGTACTGAATATTTGATAGGACTAAAAAGCGTACGGTATTCTTATCAGCTGGGTCTTTGTATCTAATAAATTACTGCGTTCAACGTAATGTTAATTTCGGTAATTAAATTCGATAGAGCTGGGCGCTCTTGTTTAAAATATCGATTAATAGGAATGTTGTGTCGATGTCTGACCGATTTTCGTGTGAATAAAGGAAAGACAATTAACAAGCCATGATACAAGGCGGCTCAGAAGAAATTAACGCATGGCATCCACAAGTCCGACACTGTTTTATTTTGAAGGTAGTTTTGATTTAATGACAGCTAACAAGCACTTTTCGATGCTGGAAAATAATATCAGTTACCCTTCTTCGTGATCATCGCAAGACATTACCACCTAAATTAAAATTAAAATTATGTTTTCTGATATCCTCTTGTGATAAAAGCAACTTTCACTTAAGCTGATGCTCTCGGCATCAAAGATACCTCTGCATAGTAAAGTTACCTTTCCCATCTCACATATGCAGGCCTCTGATTCAGATTCGTTTCGCCCCGGATCGACAAATGGTTCCGGTCATATATTTCTTTATATAAAAACATTGCGATATGACTATCCAACAAGTGTGACACAATTTTAGTCACGAGTTGGGTTGGTTAGTATAGTTAGTTAGTTAGTTGAGATGAGCTGAGCGAGTACTTAATAAAATACCAAGACTAAAAAGATATGATCGATCTTAAACGCATAACTAAAACACCGAAAACGACCGAAGTGGCTCACGAACATCACTAGAAAAGAAAGAAAATTTTAAGAATTACGAATGCTACATACACATTGCTGACAATTAGGTTATAAGAGAGACCAATTCTTTTTATTCTTTTACTTCGCCCTGTCGAATTGATGTGAACTAATAAAATTTTATAAACTCAGACGCTTAGAATAAGTATGTATATGGTCGAAACTCGTGTAAAATCTATACGAAGTCAACTGGAATAGCATACAAACAACAAAAACAATTCTAGTTGGCTTTGCATTTGAGATATTGAGTGAAACAGAAAAGTTGACCATTTCAGTATTTTAACGCTGGCGAATCAATTTTTTTTTATAAAAGATATCATTTTTAAGAAACAAACTAAAGTTATGTCTTTATATACGAAACATCCTGCATATACAAAAGTACAACTGCTCAAACTGGTTTTCACCAGCCGCCAAACATCTTTCGCATAATTAACGAATTCTTTGGGCGGAAAATTGTCTGGAACATAGATTCAGTAGAATTCAGTGACGTAGTGAGATTTTTTATAAAATTTTAATTAATTATTTAAAATAACTTATTTAGACGACCATACATTTTTGAAAATCATATTATAAAGCAATCGAATTAAAATAATATATACAACCATACATTTAAAACACATCAGTTAGGCTCATATAAAAATTACATCTTCTACAAAAAATGTGCTAATGATATGATGATATGATAATAGGGTGTTTACGAAACAAAGGGTAATTGAAATGGACAAATTTTCTGTTTCGTTATGTTCTAATAGTAACTGAGATACCCCGCAATAAAACCAAAAGTGATCTTTACCAGTGTACTTTACCAGCGTTTTCCGCTTCGATCCGATGCTATGTTTCATAAAATAAGACGGAATTATCTTTGAACAGCATCTCGCAGATTTACGTCCGTGTATTAAACCAACAAATGAGCCCGTCGTTAGTTAGAATCGATCCACCTAAGGTTTGTTGCTAGGTTAAATTACATTTAACGCATTTCGCAATATTGGCTTTGATGGTTAATTTAATTTGTATTAATAATTAGCACCGTGAAAGCAAACCGTGTCGGACAACACAAAACCGGTCGAGTTCGAGTTTGAAAGGGTCTCTGGCGAATGCTCCTTCGCCGAGCTATATATAGAAATGCAGGCGCAATTGGATGCAATTCGTCGTTCCTTTAATGTGCGATTATATAATCGGGAGTTAAACAGGAAAGCAACAATTATCATCATTAATATCATCATTATAATATTATTATTAACGCCTAATCGCGGTTTAATTGTTTAAACACTGTGGCCGTGATCTGAGAATCTCCCCGACTTTTCTTTAGCAAAAATAAAAAAATGCAATATTTTCAATCTGCCACAGACTAGGTGACAGAAAAGATACTAAAATAGAAAAACAGAATTGTAAATAAAATTAAAAATTTAATACATATTATACAACGGTTTATAAGGGCCACATCTATCAAAAGTCGTTTTTTTATCTCTTTAATATCACAATTTGTTTCTAGTAAATCACATTTCAATCACTGTCACTGTTTCCTCGAATGATGTTTTACCATGATACGTTCAAAATTTCATAACAGCTATCCACATGAACATTTTGCCATGAGATAACAGTGGCAAAATATAAAAAAAAGTATTTGTTTCGAGGTGCATTATCTAATTTTTGCTAAATAAATATTTAATAACATGTACATATTGTTAAAAAAGTGGGTAGAACGAAGAATATATATTTATTTTAAATTTGGACCAAAATCCGAAAAAAATTAGGCAACACGTTGCGAAACATCCATCGATCACGACAAGACTTTTTAAAACTGGTTACATAAATACCTGTTTTAAAAATTTTATATAAAAATTTAGATAGCGCAAAAAACCAATTAGTAAATTCCTTTACTTTCCACAAAATGGAGAAAAATGAAAATTTCAGGCACAAAAGCACGACACTGATTAAGAAGAAAAAGTTCGATCCAAAAAACAGATCTTGAAAATATCAAGAAACAAATTTAAAATTAGAGTCATTCTGTTGCTAAATCGCAACTGCAATTTGGAAATGGTAAAGAAATATGATAAAACTATAGCTACCGCAAAGGCAAAAGTTTTCTTCACTTTAAGAGTTTTTTAAATGTGTTATTCTTC